ATTGGTTTGTCAGATATCATTTTTGTGAAGTGAAAAGTCCCTAACTGTCGTAGTTAACACACAAAAAAACATCATGTGCTGCCATCTAGCGACGGTAAGCGAAACTATTATCAAATGTAGAAGTAATTCTCCTGAGTAGTGGTTTTCCTTTTTGTTATTTTCTCACAAAAACGCAAGTAATAGGAGAAGATAATAACACTGCTCTTATATACAAATTAAGCGGGCAATTTTTTCACATCTTGCCTATCTGTCAAGCAAAGTAATTTTCATCTTAACATTAAAAATACTTTTGTGGATCAGAAAATTTCGAACTTTCATATGTGAAATTTTTATAATGTCCAAATAGTTACCAAACGTTTCCTAAGAGAAAACTTTATATTTTATATATTGTCTTCAGTTATCAATTTCTGTTCGGGTCCGGAAACTCTGAATGATCTCGCAACCACCATAACAAATTATGAAATAAACATAAAGTATGCATCTTTCATTCTGGAATGAACACAAAGGGATTTAAATTGATAGTTATTGGACGAGCATCAGGACGTGTTTCTTGTGCAAATATAAGGTAGTGACATTACTTACTTCTACTGTATTTTAAGTAAAGGTTTTTAATTATAGTTCAGTACAGTGTCCATCTATTGAGAGATAACTGAACTTCCAAGGATTTTTTTCTCCATCTATTGAGAGATAACTGAACTTCCAAGTATTTTTTCTTAATTTTTTCTCCATCTATTGAGAGATAATTAAACTTCCAAGTATTTTTTCTTAATTTCTTTCTCCATCTATTGAGAGATAACTGAACTTCTAAGTATTTTTTCTTAATTTTTTCTCCATCTATTAATAGATAACTGAACCTCTAAGTATTTTTCTTAATATTTTTCTCCATCTATTGAGCCGAGGGTTACCAAACTATGGCCCGTGGGCCAAATCCGGCCTGCGAGGTTCATCCAGCCCACTACTGCACTGTGCTACAAATGAGCTAAAACGACTTAATTAAATTAACAAAGATTTTAATTAAATTAGTATCAAATTCTTAATACTATATTTGTCTATTAAGATTCTTAATATTTTTATTAAATATGATCTTAATTATTTTTTATGAAGTTCTTCTAATTAACTTACATAATAAATTTTAAA